CTCACAGCCGGGAGCGGATCCCGCCGCGCCGCGACCCACGGGAGCTGCTGCCCGCGGTGTGGGGTCGGGTCGGGTCCGGCGAGGAGGGGAGGGGAGCGGAGCGGTGCGGTGCGCTTGGGGCCTCTCCGCCACCGCCGGTCGCGCTGCCAGCGCCGCTCAAAACAAAGGGGCCGGCGGGGCATGTGACCTCGGAGCCACCGCACATGATGTCACGGAAGCTCCGCGGGGCCCTGGGAGCTGTAGTCCCGCCGCCCCGCCCGCTCCCGGCCCCGCAGCGCCTGAGGCACCGCGGGATGCGGCAGCGGCGGCCCCGGGAGAAGCGGGCACCCGGGGAGCCCCCGGTAACCGGCAGCGCTGCCGCCACTCTTAGCCCATCCCGTCAGCCCTCCCCTGGCCGGGACCACGCACCCCGGGGTTCCTCACCGGGTGGGGGGGGACGCGGTGCCCCGGGATGTCACCCCTGCGGCGGGGAGCCCCCAGCACGGGGCATCTCCCGGGATAAGGACCCAGGGACACCGGGCTCCGTGTCGCTCTTCAGTCAAATAAACTACGCACGTACACACAAAACCAAGAGAAATCCATCCAAAGAGGCCCTCTGGCCGCCCGAGCTCCGGCTTCACCTACTGGAGATTGAATTTCCAACTGACCCAGCTTTCCGGCAGCTCCCGGCCGAGGGTGAGGCCAAACCGGGGTGTCCCCTTCCCCAAGGTCAGTCCCCGCGGGGCTGTGGCAGTGGGGGGCGGCAGGGGCGGCAGCCGCTCGACTGCAAATAGCAGGAGCAGGACCCTGGTGTCATCGCCGTGCAATTTCCAGAGCAGGTCTGAGCCTGTCCTGGAGCCCAAATTCACTTCATGGCCAAACTATTTGGAGAGCAGCCCGTGCTGCGGCGCAGGCTGATGGAACATGCCTGGGAGTATGGAAATTTATTTTTTGCTCTGCCCTTTAGCATAAGCAAACGGGCGAGTCCGTAGCGCGGAGTGGCGAGGCGAGGGCAGGGACACGCATGATGCTTAAATTAAGTTCATTACCAGGTAGTAAATGAGGCCTTACGCAACGCCGTGGAGCTGGTGTAGGCAGGTAACTGGCTGCCTTCTCCTTCCTAGAAGGATGGCCTCTCCCTCTCGCCCCTTCCCGCTGAGGGAAAGGAAGAAATACCAACTCTTCTGTGAGATGCCACCCGCTTTGCTCTCCCAAATGTTAGGTATCAATCACGGAATCATGGAATTGTTGGGGTGGAAGAGACCTCTAGAGATCATCCAGTCCAACTCCCCTGCCAAAGCAGGGTTGCCCAGAGCACATCACTCAGGAGCACTCAGGAGGGTCGTGAAAGTCTCCAGAGAAGGGGACTCCAGACCCTCCCTGGGCAGCCTGTTCCAGGGCTCCGTCACCCTCGCCCTAATGAAGTTCTTCCTCAGATTTGAGTGGAACTTCCCATGTCCCAGCTTGTGCCCGTTGCCCCTCATCCTGTCACCGGGATCCACTGAAATGAGTCCAGCTCCGCCCTCCTTCAACCCACCCTTTAGATACTTGGAAGCATTAATAAGGTCTCCCCTCAGCCTTCTCTTCTCCAGGCTAAAGAGCCCCAGCTCTCTCAGCCTTTCCTCATCAGGGAGATGCTCCAATCCCTCCATCATCTTTGTTGCCCTGCGCTGGACTCTCTCCAGCAGTTCCCTGTCCCTCTTGAACTGGGGAGCCCAGAACTGGATGCAGTATTCCAGTTGTGGCCTCCCCAGTGCAGAGCAGAGGGGGAGAATGACCTCCCTTGACCTACTGGTCACCCTTTTCCCTACACAGCCCAGAATCCCATTGGCCTTCTTTGTGACAAGGGCACATTGCTGGCTCATGGATAGTTTATTATCCACCAGGTCTCCCAGATTCTTCTCCTCAGAAGTGCTTTCCAGCAGGTCCACCCTATAGTGGTGCCTTCCTCCCCAGGTGCAGGACCCTACACTTGCCTTTATTGAACCTCATTAGGTTCTTCTCTGCCCAGCTCTCCAGCCTGTCCAGGCCACACTGGATGGTGGCACAGCCCTCTGGAGTGTCGGCCAGCCCTCCCAGTTTGGTGTCATCAGAGAACTTGCTGAGGATACACTCTGTCCCCTCGTCCAGGTCACTGATAAATATGTTGAACAAAACTGGTCCCCCTGGGGGACACCACTGGTTACAGTCCTCCAGCTTGACCCTGCTCCACTAATTACAACTCTCTGAGTCCTGTCACACAACCAGCTCTCAATCCACCTCACTGTCCCCTCATCTAGCCCACACTTCCTCAGTTTCCTAATGAGCATGTTATGGGAGACAGTGTCAAAAGCCTTGCTGAAGTCAAGGCAGATGACATCTGCTGCTCTCCCCTCATCCAGCCATCTAGTTATAACATCATAGAAGGCTATCAGATTGGTCAAGCACGATTTACCCTTAGTAAATCCATGTTGACCACTTCCAATAAGTTCCTGTTCTTCAACGTGTTTGGAGATGACATCAACCCCAGGCATGATACATCTTTAGCTTTTGGCGAACCTCTGCAACCTTCTGACCCTGGGATATTCCCCCCCTTGCCCCCATAGGCCCTCCCTGGGAAGCCTCCACAGCCCTGTGCTCTTCGCAGTAGCTGGTGCTGCTCCTTCACTGAAACTATTGGAAAAGCAGCACACGTTCAGGACTCCAGGACCCATCCCCTCCGGAGCAAACCAGTCTCTCATTTTCATAGGCTGAACGAGCTCTGCTTTTCCCCGGGGTCAGGTAAATTGCAGCTTTGCAAAACAGTCAGAATTGCTAATTAAAAGGCTACGTTTCTGAAAATGTCAACTGATTTTTATATATAAATTGTTTTCATGAAGATCTTAATAAACTGAAACCTTCAACCATTTCCCTGCCCAGCTGGAACTCAGGCCGGCTTAACAGATTTAGTTCGAAGTGAGACCATTCAGGCCATTTTTTCATCTTCTGGCTGGAAAAGCAAGAAGGACCCCAAATGACATGAACAGCAAAGAGAAAATCAACAAACAGTTCACCTTGTATAGTACAGTTGCCTTGCAATAACTTATTTCACCCACTGAATATGAAAAGGATTCATAACCTGAAGTGTTAGTTGTTACAAAGACATTAAATCTAAAAAAGCATATGACCCAGGAAAAATAGTTTTCTTAAAATAGATCTCTTATCTGATATATCCTCTTGTCTGCCCCAGTCCTTCGAGTGTGTAACTCTCGGGGTCAATACGACTGTGCAGAGTTCACTTCAGAAAACACAAGTAGGATTAAAGGAATCAGTCACGGGAAGGAAAACCTTTAAAAGAGGGTCAAGATCTCTCTGAATTGGCTTGAAGGAGGTATCTGCCGGGAGTGTGTTTACTCCAATAAAAACTGCACGTGGCCAAAATACCTTGTGTGAAGAGGAGCATTTAAAAGGAAAATACTAATTAAAAATACTCATTGAGCAATCAATTGTTTCATAATGTGCACATGTATGCACGCAGTCACATCCAGGCACTTCCAGTTCTGGAGGCCAACGTCACCGAGGATGTCTGAAATTAGGGATAGTTGGGTTGCTGCTACATCCTATTGGTGTTCATTCCTCTGCTTGCAGGGCCATTGGCTCTTCTCTCTCAAGCAGCACCAAACATTTCTCTCAAAATAAGCAGTTCCACGCCGCCCGAGAAGCTGAAGGCAATTATTAAAGCTTACTCATTTCTATAAAGCTTTGTTAATACTTTTTTAACAATGTAAAGTACTTGTAAAGCATTTAGGCCAATATTTTCTGAAGAGGTCAGTGATTCGGGGGGATTTTTGAAGGCATCTTCAGGGCACTGCAAAGGTTAAAAGCTAAAATTAGAAGCCTGCGTGAAAAGGTTGGCGCGTGTCCACGGCCGCCGTGCTGTTTTTCGGGTGGTGTTGAATTTGAACACCGCCGCCGTCGGGCACTTCTCGCCTACGTCCCCACGACGCCATGTGCCACCGAACCGAGTCGGGGCATTCCTCCAAATAAAGGCATTCACTATTTTGGGAAGTCGTGTGCCAGCACGCCCCTGAGAATTTTCCTCTGCTGCGGGGAGCCTTGTAACCCCCACCCGCGTTTGGGTTTGTTTTTTTTTTTTCTAAAATTAAGCAAAACCCAGATGTTTTTTCTAGTAGTTCCAACGTACAGAAAAGGAAATCCATGATTTCTTTTAGTAATTATTTACTGCTAATGGACATCTGTCCTAACCTGCTTGGGAAAGGGCTCGGAGCCGAATGAAGGCAGGGATGAAGGTGAGCTGCAGCGACCATGAGTGGGAAGCTGAAGGAGAATACGAAGGGAGATGATAGTCTAAGTACCATGTTCCTCACCCCAATCCTTGATCAGAGAGAAGAGAGACACTAAACAGGGGACAACATTAAAAAGCCTGAGCGCCACACGGGGATTGTACCACTGGGATAAAAGAGAGAATTTAGACATTTCATTAATGATGGAGAAGAAGTGAAACAAACACTTCTCGGCACAAGGAGGGAGAACAGATTCAGGCGCTGCTAGAAGAAGTTCTAGTGGGCAGAAAGCTTCAAAAAGAGAGAGGTGGTGTTAAGTGACAGCATCGCTGCAGGTCCTGATGCAAGAAGGCACAAAATATAATGACAGAAGCCATTCAGCAGGATTAAAAACAGTAGTCAGTGCTGAACAAAAGGAAAGGTGACCTTAATAGCAATTTGTGAGGAAGAGCAGAAGAGTAAGTTCTGTAACTCTTGCAGAATTTACTTCTTGAGCATGCCAGGAAAAAGGGCTAAGGTGTGTTAAGTGAAAAGGAAGAGGTGTATGGAAACAACATTAAAAAGAAGAGTCTGGATTTAGATGAGGCTGAAAGCACAGCAAAGTCTTTTCACGTGATAAAAAAACCTCTCCAAGAAACAGAGAGAACACAACAAAACATGCCAAAGTCCTCCCCTTGACTTTGAACAGACTTTCACCATCATCCTGCCAAAAGCCCTGTGGGTCACATCGACTGGAGCTGGTCTGCTGGGGATAATCAGCAGGTACAAGCATTTTGGGTGGAAGGCACTTTTCCAGGACCGCTCCCCTTCAGCCTCTCCTCTTCCCATCACCTGTTTGCAATGGCAGCTGCACCAGGAAATAGCATCTGCAAGGCAGATTGCTGCGCTGGCGCT